CTTTCCACCATTTATATTTTCCAAGTGATAATAATACAGTAATATATTTCCTATCGCTCGCGAGTGACAAGCAATCACCCGACTTCTACCGGAGTTCTATAGCATAGCATTCTACATGACCCTATAATACTAGTAAGACTCATAGGATAAAGATATATATGTAAGTGGGTTTCATTCAACTCCTTAAACTTAATGCACAAATATAATTTAAATTGTAGAAAGTAGGGGTTATGTACCGGGGCTTGCCTGGGTAAGATATATATATTAAAAAGTTAGTATCTGCATCTTCCGATCACCCACCATCAACTGAATAGAAAGCCCATTGCATCATCTCCTAGAGAGAATACCATTACACTATCTTCGAATTCCCAATCATCCTTCAATTGATCCGTTGATCCATCATCGTACCTATATGATATGCATTGATGCAAATGCATAGATGTAAATAATCAACGATAGCCGAATGCTTAGAAATCCGAGCACGCCTCACAAGCTAACGAGATAGCTCTAACGCTAGTCTACGTATCCAGGTTGTCGAATAAGATGTTACTTCCCAACCAATGTTTTAGTTATACAAAACCCAAGGTGTTTCTTTATTCTATCCTATCAATTTAGTCTTTATTCGCAATAGGACATCATTATCTATTTAGCAAACTAATTATTCTGGCGCTATAAAAATTACAGCGAGTACCTAATATTACTAGGAGCCTACTGTAAAAATTTCAGATTCAACAATATTACCAATTTATCACAACAATTCCTACAAATTTATATTCTTACAATATTAAGTATCTTAAATTAATTATATAGCTTCCAAGAATTTTATCAAACTATGTGAACAAAATATATTATTGGATGGATCATGATTTTAGGAACTCAACAAAACTAGTTTCATAATTTTCGGACAACTACACAATTTTATATTGATTTTACAAGTTTTACCTTATAAGCTAAATTAGAAACTGCTCTACAATTTGAAAAGGCCGGCGTCAACGAAACTGGCCCAGCAGCATGGCAGCCCAGTCGGCACCAGTTCGGCCTAGCCAGACAGCGCGCGGCGGCCCAGAGCACAGCGCGCACACGCGGCCCAACGCAGGGGCGAGCGGCCCAGGCGCGAGTGGCACCAGGCCGGCCCAAGCGGGGGCGCGGCCGGAGGCCCAGCGCGCAGTCAGCGGTAAGCCGGCCCATCGCGCGGTCAGTGGCAAGCTGGCCCAGCGCGCGGCCTGCCCCAAATCGGTCATGCGATTTTTGCAAAAATATCCCTGCGTTTACATCTATTCATCTCGAGATCCATAGGGACTATTTAAATGAGTCACGTATTTCGTAATAACAACCATGTATAATATTTTACTTGGACTCTTACCCTTCTCGTCATTCACAAAAGCAGAGCACAGCACAGAGACGCCGGCCGCCGGCGGCGGCAACGACGCGGTGGGGCCGAGAAGACACGGCGGCGGCGGTCCACCCATCGACGAGCTGCTCGAGGACCCGCGCGGCCTCGGGCTGGCCACGGCAAGCGCCGAGCCGGCCCTCGGAAGCCTGGCCGCGCAAGCCTTGGAGGCGGGCACGTTGGCCGTTGCAGGGGAAGCGACAACAACGACGCTAGTGGAGGTACTGGCTCGGCGGCGTTGAAGGCGGTGAGGAAGAAGAGGGGGCGCAGGTGTGGAACACGCGGGTGCTCGCGAAGGAGAGACAGGCGGCGAACTACGGAAGGCGCAGCGACGGCGGACGAGCGGCGCGGCACAGCGCTGGCAAGGTGGAGACGCCGGGGAGCAGTAGGCCAACGCGGGCTGGGGGTACGCGCGCTCGCGAGGGGAAAAAGGAAGGGCGATGGACGGCGGCGGTGCTCGCACCCGAGGCTCGCGACCCTGGCGGACGGGAGCGGCCATGGCGATGGGGCGCTGCGGTGGTGCGGCACGCGGAGACGCGGCGCGGACCCCGGGGCGGTGGCGCGGCCACAACGGCTTAGGCGCGCGGAACTGGAACGGTGGGGCAGCGCAGCGGGGCTGAGGGCGCGGGGCTCAGCATCCAGGCCGGGCAACGGCGGCGCGGACAATCAAAGGAAGGGCGAGGGAGACGGCGTAGCTCAGTCCTCGGCTACGGACGCGGTCAAGGTGTGCTGCAGGCAGCGGGCGGGTTGCGTCCGGCCGGGCGCTCAACGCTGGCGAGGAGCGGGGAAAAGAGGATCGACTACGGCTAACGGGAGCTGGAACGACGCCTCCCGGTTGAAGAAAAGAAAGGGAGAGAAAGAGAGTGCACAAGCCGACGAGACAGCAGCAGCAGTGGGCCACGACGGCGTCAAGGACACGGCAAGGGATGTGGGCGCACAGCACAGCGTGGCCGGTGCTGGTACACGTATAGGCAGGGAGTGGACAAGGCGTGGCAGGACGGCGCCACGGCTCGGCTCTGCGCGCGACACGGTGGTAGAGCGGAAGTGACACAACGAAAGCAGCCAGCGCAGCCAGATCGGTAGGCTCACGCGCGCGAGGTCACAAGGAAGCAACGTCCAGTATGGCAGCAGTAACCAGCAAGCAGACGAGCGGAGAAAAGAAAGAGCGAGGAGCAGTCGGTCAACTTGTACGGTCAATCGCTACAAGTATACGTTTGCCCTTTCTTCTAATTCTTTGTTTTAGAGTACCATCGTAACGATATAACGGTTTACTAATTTAGATAATTTACAACGTCTAGGCACAAAAAATTTCATCAAAGCTCGAATTTAAATTTGATTCAAAAACTATATATATATATATATATCGTTCTATTTATTAATGGATTTTATTTTACCTATAAAAGTTGCTTTTCATGCTTAATCTAACAGGACAAACCGTCCGCTAGTATCGTCGCTCGACATTCCTAAATATCCTTTATGTACCGAGCAATTTAACTTGGCGTTGATTCGAGTCCACAGAACTAAGTCGCACGTGATTCCCTCGTCACAGCAAGTACGTTTTAAATCAAAAATCCGAGAAACTCGTTTCGAAAAATTTTATTTAGACCTAAATCCCGATGCTAAACAAGCTCGTAACATCGGGTGTTACAGTACCTCCACAGGGTGTCTGCTTCGAGCACAATCTCCGGCTACCTTTTTTTATTTATAAAAAAAAAAATCACAATCGGGTTCAGAGGGGACAGGCGACACCAGCGAAAACAGGCATGCAGCAAGGGCAACAGGCCTGCCTGAAAACAGCCCAATGTTAGGCCCATCATTGAAACCAAAGATGATCCAGCCTTTTTAAGCTCCACTGCAGTTCCTTTTTTTTTTGTGAGAAGCAGTTCCACTTCTCAAACAAGGAACAACAGAGAGCAATCGAGAAGTTTACCAGAAGCAGACCGCTTATTTAAACATTAAATTAACTCCCTCGAACAATTTGAACTGGATTAAACTACCCACTAACGATATTCATTGTGATGGCGCCACTGCTTGATCGTCCTGGCTCCACGAGTATCCTTGATTTGCACATGAAATCAGTTCAAACTCTATTGCATGCGTGGCGAGTTTGTCGTGGTGGCCGCATACTTGCAGTCATCGTGGTTGTCGTCGTCTTTTAATTTGGTGATTGGTTGCGTCTATCCTCATGACCAAGTTTTCAGTCTGCACTCTGCAGTGTGAACTGTGAACTACTATCAGGCTTCTGCCATCTTCATTGTTATTCAGTGCATAGTTGGCAATACCACCTTCTGGTGTAATGGAGCTTGGGACCTCGCTTTGGTTCTTCATATATCCAAGCCTTACCCATCTCCCTGTCTGACCACTGCACTCTTTTTCTATTGAGTGAAATACTCTTGGTTGGCCGACGGCTTTCAAATTTGTGTTAGAGACGGATTGATCGGCAGCCCTGCTAGTTTCCATCCGGCACGGCAATTGCCTGATCAGCGGCCCAGTATCTTTTTATCCTCTCTGCCAGAGCCCAGTGCAACCCAGCCGGACCTCTCCTTTCCTCATGGCCCATCCTTTCTCTCCTCCCTACCAGAGCCCAATTCAGCCCAGCCGGACCTCTCCTTTCGGGCCACGCCAGCTTCTTCTTTTTCTGCAGCCCAGCAGCAGGTGGGTCCCATGTGTAAGTAAAAGTAAAGTCGGGAAAAACTTTAACTCCGGTAGGGGATCAAACTGTAGACAAATCAATCAATTAGCCGCACCGCCAGGCTACGCACATGTGTCTAGAACAGCAATGTGCACTATATATTAATTTTCTCATGGCAAAATCTGCAAAAAAAAAGGAATACTTCAAATGTTTGTTTACTAGAATCTAGATTTTTTTCCCCGAGATTGGCACGTGTTTTATTAAGAAAAAGTAAACAGTAATATTACAAGGGGCTGGCGCACAACGTTAAAACACGAGGAGCGTTTATGCCAGGCACCGTGCAGACGACGACACAGACCTCCCAGGGCGGAATGTCGCCCAGAGCCGGCTCATGAACTGCATCATAACCAAATCTAGTTTTTTTTAGTTACTAAACATTTTATTATATTTAATAATACCAAAGTTTTATAAAAAAATTCTAAATTTAAGTAACTGACCAAATCATACCGTTATTACGTTATAACATCTTCAAAGTTTGCTCCCGAACCCACTTTCTTTATTTCTAGGGATAATTGTCTATTTGACAAAATGATGGTTCTTTACTGGTGGACATCTACTTTGGAGCATTTTGCTAGAAGGCATTCTAGTTCGGTGAAATTAGGCCACAGTACACCGCGGATCGGTTGCAGCCGGTTGAGGAGAGAGAACCGCGGTGAAATGACATTCTTGACCCTGGCGCTTTCTTCTCCCTCTCTCCCTTTCTCTTGTTTTTTCTGTTTCCTGTCCCTGCCACCCTCTCCGCCTCCCGCACCCGCCGTAGCGCATCACGCCGTCGCGGGCGGCTGCGCCTCCGGTGGCCCGCTTCGGCGCCGCGCCCTAGCCTCGCGCCTCCGGCGGCCTGCTCCGGCGCCCGGGCCCGCGCCTCCGCCGAGACGGCAGCCGCTCGTACACCCTGGACCCGAGGTGCTGCAACTTCTTCTACTGCGTCTTCACGGTCTTGCTGATGATTTTGTAGTTCCACCGCCGCTGCACGTACACGGCGGCGGCTAGAGTGACGGCCACGAGCGGGATCGCCACGTCGCCGAACCGGGAGTAGAAGTCTAGGCTCGTGTTCACGAACTCGTACTCCTCGGTGAAGTAGGGGTTGATGGCCGGCGCCTTGAAGTAGTCGTACAGGTGCGGCAGCAACCGCACCACCGTCACGCCGACGTAGTAGCTCTTCTTCAGCGGTCTGTAGTTGATCCGCCACACCACGTTGCCGATCACCTGCGGGAGCAGGAATAAGTCCTGCGCCATGCCGATGTACTCCTCCGGCGTCACCGCCCACTCCCGCAACGCGTGTGTCTTCCCGCGCGCGTCCATGTACGACCCGTCGTCCTGCACCAGCCGGCTGTACACGTTCACGTAGTGCGCCGCCAGGACCACCGCGAAGCCCACCAGGTGCGCGCCAAGGCTGTAGACGAGCACCTTTCGGTCGCTCGGCACGCGGCCGGGCTCCAGCGGCGACTGCGTCAGTAGCCTGATGCGCGACCGCCACACCTTCTGCGCCAGCCGGAGCGTCAGCAAGAACGCGGCGAGGATGAGGATCTTGACGATGCAGTCGATGGTCAAATACAGGCTGCTCTTGTCCACCTCGTACCACGGCGGCACGACGACGTCGTCGGAGCCCGCGGCGATGCGGGCGAACAGGGCCTCAGCACTGGTGATCAGGGGCACGCTGTATCCAACCGCCTGCACGCCTAGCATCACCAGCGTCACATACGGCATCACGTCCGTGTTCGCCTTAATGTACATCAGTTGGCTCAGCTCCACGGCGATGGCCGCCGCCGGAGCGTCAGCGACGGCGGGTGCGGGAGGCGGAGAGGGTGGCGGGGACAGGAAACAGAAAAAAAGAGAAAGAGAGAGAGGATGAAGAAAGCGGCAGGGGCAAGAATGTCATTTCACCGTTGTTCTCTCTCCTTAACCGGCTGCAAACGGTCCGCGGTGTCCTGTGGCCTAATTTCACCGAACCAGAGTGTTTCTGACAAAATGCTCCAAAGTAGGTGTCCACCGGCAAAGAATCACTTTGGATGTCCAACAAACAATTATCCCTTATTTCTGAGAACCTTCTATTCCCCAAGGTTTGTGACAAAATGTATGTGGCAATTTGACAAAATAAAACGCTACGTGGCAATTGGCAACTGATGACACCCGTGTCGACCCTCCTGAAAATCTACACCCCGTTCGCTTGATCGTTTCTGTGGCTTATAAGCCGGCTGATGCTGTTTTGTTATGAGAGAAAAACACTATATCATGATTGATAAGCATGACTGAGCGAACAGAGTTCTAATCGAAAGCCAGATACATATTGGCAGGTTGGAGCGTATATGATACATCATCACGGATATGCATTTATGAAGTGTATCATTTGCAGGGGAAGCACATACACAACCTAACCAACTCTGTTCCATCCCTCTCTGTTCTCTCCTTTGGCGCCAGGGCAACACACGATACGATATCTCCATGTCACGCGCGCTTTCACCTTAATGTTTGGACAAAACAACGTGCACCAGCTAACATGAGAGTGGTGCGTGCTACTGCTATCTGCTTTAGGCTTTAGCACTCGCATGCATAATGCATTATTTGTCACGACCTGTCACATCCAAACCCTCACTAACGCAAAAGGCGTCCAGTAACAAACGCTCCAAAGGGCATAAAAAGCGAGCTCGGTGACACACTCGATCGGAGGAATCCCCGAAAGAGCATTTCGTGTCGTGCCGGCGTTCAGGCCATGGCCACCAAGGAGATGTGACGGTCCGGCGGACGGACGGGGACGGTCGCGAGAAGCCCTTTTCGCCGCGCGGAAATGCACCAGTGTAGACTGTAGACTAGCGAGCTAGTAGCTTCCAAATCCGGGGCTTGTCCTGCCCAAGCACGCAAGGAGGCTATTCTCTAGTTCAGCTTCCAGTCCTAGCTAGCTAGCTAGCTTTGCCTGCAAAGCAATCAAAAAGCGAGCCGGCGGCACCACGCGTCGGCCGTGTGCCTATCCCTTCAAGCCGGGGATCGGAGCGGAGCCACCAGGGATCGCCCCTTTACAAGCACCCACACTCGCGCAACAGCCCCGAACCGTGCATCGCGATCGCGCCTCTTACATGCATCGCTGCTGCCGCGGCCCGCGGACAGAGCACAGCAGGCAAGGTAGCTAGGAGCAGTCGCGCGCGAGAGCTGGTGGCATGGACCGTCGGGACTCCAAGGCGCCGGCGCCGGCGCTGGCGAAGGCGGGGCTGGCGGCGGCCGTGAACGGTACTGCCGGCGGCGTCGGATGCGCGGCGTATGCGTCGGCGCCGGGGCCCGACGCGACCTTCGACACCAACACGGTGATCCTCCTGGCGGCGCTGTTCCTAGCGCTGCTGTTCGCCATCGCGCTCCACTCGCTGGCCAGGTGCGGGGGACGAGCCGCGGACGGCGGCGGCGGCGGCCGCGGCGAGGGGGCGTCGTCGTCGAGCGTCGGCGCGTCGTCCTGCGCGGGCGTCCGGGGCGGGATCAGGAAGCGCGCGCTGAGGAGCATCCCCGTGGAGGTTTACGTCGCCGCGGGGGAGGGGGAGGAGGCCGGGGCCGGGGACGAGGACGAGGACGTGTGCGCCATCTGCCTCGGCGAGTTCGCGGACGGCGAGAAGGTGCGCGTGCTGCCGCGGTGCGGGCACGGCTTCCACGTCCCGTGCGTCGACGCCTGGCTGCTGTCCCGCGGCTCGTGCCCGACGTGCCGCCGCCCCGTGATCGACGGCGTCAAGCCCGCCAAAGCCGGCGGCGGCAGCAGGGGCGGCGGCCAGAGCCGGCGGCGGCCGGATAGCGACACCATCGCCGTGGTCATCGCGTGAGGGACGGAGGGGAGCATGGCCATCGGGACGCGAAGCAGACGGACCTAGTGGGTGGTAGGGGCACACGCAACAGAGCAGGGTATAGCTCTGCACTGTTCTGTCGCCGTGGATAAGCTCATGTAAAATATCTCCGATATTATCCGGCGACGGCTGGTCCACTTGCGCTAGATGACGCTACTTGGAGTGTACTGCTAGCTAGTGTAGTAGCATCATGCCGGCCGTCAAATGTACGAGTAGCTGCCCAGTTGTTCGATCACTGTGCGTGTTCGGCGGCGCCGTACGAGAACTTGTGTTACAAATAAGCAACCATGCGGTAAGAAATGCTCATGCGCATCGACGCGTGCACCGTACCCGTGCGTTCGTCGCCGGCGGCGGCAGGTGGTGCGCGTTCCGGCTGCCGCACGCCTGGAAGCGGTACGGTGGCCGTGCGCTGATCGGCATTCGGCACGCCGACCAAACAACCACCGAGTGCAAAATAATCTGATGCGGGTTGCTGCGTGACAACTGCATGCCTTAATCTGAAGCGAAAGCCGATCGCGCGTCGGTCGCTGCAACCACCGAGATCACTCCGTGGCGCCAAACCCGATGGCCACGGCTAGCTGCAGGGTGCGTGGTCCGTCGTCGTCGCCCGGTGTTCACGCGACACGCGTGGAGAAACGTACGCGTCCTGAGGAGCTGGGCAGCTGGCTGAACCTGAACCGTAGGTGGCCTGGGGACGGAAGACTGTCTCAGGTGGCCTGTTTTGGTACACTCATATGTACTTCAATTTATATGTGTTGAGCTAGATATAGTTTTCATCTTAGCTTATTCTAATGCCTCCTGCAGTAGCATCACAACGAGTCTCACCATGGACAGCGTGGATTGATGTGGATATGAGTGCAGCCAAATAAGATATAAATCGCTTTTGTAGGGTGTGAATAACCACAATTGAAAAGGTGCTGAATTTCTTCGTCATAGAAAAAAAGAAGGATGAGAGGTGCTAAGTCATTTTCACCCTATCCCCTTGTGGCCTTGTCTGTCTTTTATGCAACTTGAGTAAAATATCTCAGGATTTGGAGTTTCATCGTTGGAACCTGACTCCTCTACTAACTAGGTAAATGATTTGGAATTTAGGAAGTATTTTGAATGGCAGATGAGTTAATCATGCAAATATGGAGCACAAATTTTCTAAGAATTTTTTTTTTTGGTTCCGAAGCATAGTAGGATAGACCTAACCAAGTTGTGAAAGACGAACCGTCCCTAACCTTTTTTGGGTTGAAAATGATAGGACGGTTCTTGTTTTATGTTTGGTTGAATTATGGCTATGAGGAAAAGTTGTTGTGGGCTATGAGTTGTGGAAAAACTACTGTGAGCTGTAAGCTGTGGACAAGTTGAAAGCTTTTTGGTTGAAACAAGTATAAATTATACCTCTTATATTTACCTCTCTTGAAACAACTATGAAAAAGTTTTTATTCCACCAATTTTAAAAGTAGAAAGCCAAAAAACAAAAATAGGGTCTAAGATGCTTTAAAAAATATACTACGAAAAAACAGCTCTTTTGGTTGAGTTTAGCCCAACCAAACCGACCCTTAGGGATGTGGAAATTCCAATCACTCACCTGACCCGTCGGGTTCAATTGTCGGTCTCTATTATTTTTTTTCTTTTATCTTCTCTTGGTTCTGTTCTTTTGCTGATGCCCAAAACCATGATGGTCGCTTCGTCTCGCGCTGCTGCTCCACGACTCGATCCTCTTATTCTTTGACGACTGAAACCACGGCTGCATATTCTTCTCGCGATGCCCCAGAGGCCTCAGCCGCCATCGCACGATGCCCGCTTGATTTGGAGGTATCACGGGGGATGGTATCTAGGAGGCACCCCCTGTTGTTCCTGAACTAAACACCAAAAAACTGGACTTGCCATCCCATCCCCCATCGTCTCACGAACCAAACACAAAATAAGATCAGACGACTGAAACAAAAGCAACGATATGGTTTAATGTGGTTGCAGAGAAATCAGAGTAAACGACAGTTAGTGGATTCATCTTTATAGGTCATATAGATAGATACATGCATGAAAAAAAACTCTTCTCACTTGCTTTTACTCTATTAACACATGCATGAAAAAACTCTTGTCGGTTGCTTTCCAAAAAAAAAAGGACAAGAACTTTGAGACATTAAGACCTTACGCATGGAACACATGATTCTCTAAATGCAGGAAATGAGACAATGGTATTCTTGCCCTTGTTTGTCCTTATCTTTTTAAGCTTGTGACTTTTCTACTGTTTGACCGTTTGCCCCTATTAATTTGAGTTGGAATAAAAAATAAAAAGGAGAAAACATCTAGAGGAGATTAGTAGAGGAATTATGCGTGGGCTTATAATTTTTATTCATGCAATTTTAGATTTTTAAAATTAAATGCTTGTTAAAGTTTTCTTAAATTTGAAATTGAATAAATTGCACATTCATGCTCGATTAGAAGCAAAAAACCTAACTCGATTAGATACGTTTTGGCGTGGCCGATAGGCTACATATATAGGTCTGTCCAACTTGATCTCGGGTCATGATCACGATCTAGCGTTTAGGACTCCTATCTGCAAACCTGATTAAATGCCTGTTAAAGTCTTCTTAAATTTGAAATTGAATAAATTGCACATTCATGCTCGACTAGAAGCAAGAACTCTAGCTAAATTAGATGCATTTTGGCGCGGCCAATAGGCTACTTACATAGGTCTGTTCAACTCGATCTTGGGTCGCGATCACGATCTAGCGTTTAGGACTCCTATCCACAAACTTGAAGGCTAGGAAACCAAAACTGCAAAAAAGAGGTCGAGCGATTGCGCATGTGTATGCAGTGGCGGACCCAGTGGGTAGCCTGGATACTACCCACAAATTTGGCCCAAAATTCTATTACTACTCTTGAGAAACTGGCCCA